ATATATATATATATATATATATATATATATATATATATATATATATATATATATATATATATATATATATATATATATATATATATATATATATATATATATATATATATACATATATATATATATATATATATATATATATATATATATATATAATAGTGTTAATATACAGATTTAGAGTCTAAATATGTTGCCCTAGAGATATACGCCCCCATTGCTTAATTCATGGAGGCTGGAAAAAAAAAGCTAAAGCCGTCATTGAATATACCGCATGATATACGCATTTCCCTGTGGCTGAGAATTTTTGTACATTCATCTGAAAATGTTTATATTTTACTACCTGCCCACCTACCTCGTACCTATCTACAAGTTTTTAATATAATAAACCATTGAATTAAAAGTATTTTCAAAGATAAATATCGACAGTTTTAAAGTCAGCATTCAGTCTTTGTTTGGCAGTGTCATGTTTACATTGTAATTTGCGGCAAAAAGTTACTTTTCAAAATTTTATCAATCTTCAATAATCGAGATTCAAGACGCGTACTATCGGTAAATCGGCCCAGAGTATATCAACGTTTGCAAACAACAAATCTAATGGCATATTTTAGAAAGAGATAGAAGTGAATATATGAAAACGTTGATGGCGACTGACCGGTTTGATATCAAAATATATATGTTTGAGAGAGAATACCCAACTTCAAACTTTAAAGACTTTAAAGTATACGATTTTATTTGTTTCTTGACTTGACTGTTGATAAAATGCTACAGTGTTTTCGTAATTTGAAAGCAAACAGAGGTATAAAATAGAAGTTAGCTGGTGCTTCGAACTATGTATCGTAAAATCCCACTCCTGGTATTCGAAACTTTATAATAACATTTTCTGTGGAAGCATGTAATTTGACACTTTGCCACTCCCCCTTGGGCAAACAATTTTTGTAGAGTCACGTGACCATACAATACCAGGGTCTTTCCCAAAACGACCCTGGGTACGAGGATGGGAGGAATATATAGTGACAAGGTCTTCATCGCTTAACCCAGCCTTTTTTAACTTCCGCAATGCATAGAGTCTGGAATTTGCTTTTTTAATCACATAGTAAACATGATCACACCAAGACAGATCCTCTCTCAGCAGCACACCGAGCAGTTTCAAGGAGGATAGTGATTGCACTGGCAAACCATCTATATAGATCGCATTATCAAGTGGAAGGTAGTATTGGAGGAAGGATATTATCATCTCCTTACATTGCTTACTGTTAAGCTTCATTCCTCTACTTGAGGCATACTGAGATACATCATTTACGAGGATAGGTAGCAAGCTAGGAGAACAACGTGGAACAATTTCTATTGCAGTAGCATCGTCTACACACTTTATCCGCCCATTCTATTCCTGTAGGAGGGAATTGACTAAAATGGCAGAGGGAAGAGGCCCAAGTTTTAGTTCCTTGAGGTAGCCCACCGTTAACGGGTTTCCATGAGGAAGTGGAGTGGAGGATCAGATTTTTACACACTGTTCGCTGGAGGTGATCCATCTTATAATGACAGGACTCATTTATAATTTTAAAAGTTCATCAATAATGACATTATGGTCGACGAGATCAAGACCTTTTTTGAAATCAGCAAAACAGATTCTTACAGAGCAGTGGCCTTGATCTTAAGCAGCATGAATCACGTGGAGGAGATAAACGAGTGCCTGAGTGGTTGACTTTCCCGGAAGAGCAAATTGCTTTAGGTCCAATTTATGACCCACTTCCGACATGAGTGACTGTAGCATAAATCCTTCCATCATTTTAGACACATGACCTGCGAGTGATATAGGTCTTAACCCTATTTGTACCGTGGGTGCGCACTATGAGCGCACCCCTATAGATATTTATCCGTCATTCCCGAACCATTGATCCAATTTGCCTGTGCTTTCACGACTTCTAATATTTTTCCTCTGCCGTCATGAATACGAAAATTTTTTTCTGAATATTCATCGTTATCCAGACGTTTACCGACATTTGTCAAACAAGGTGTCGGGGCCAGAAGTGTGGGTTGGACAGTATTTTTTGGCTAAATCACTACCCAGATGAATTATTACACATGATTTGCAAAGTAAAATATCCAGAATATATTAATATAAAATAGTAAAATATAGTACAACATGTAATATAGTATACTACAAAATACTTATATAAAATAAAATGCTTATTTATAATATTTTTATATACACAAATATACATATTTCTTTGTACCTTAAAGGCATAACATCTTCCTGTCTTTGAATAAACACCAAACATGTAGGAACCATTATATATTGCAGAGTATAAGAACTGTCTTTGATAAGACAAATGTACGAATTTAGATAAAATATTTCGCATAAAATCCATGCGAATATTGTAGTTTTAAAGTGAATATTGTGTTTTCAAAACTATACTGCAGGCTCGTAGCTCACCTTTGGTACACTTCATGTAACACATAGTATATTTGTATAAAAACATGGTCACCATTTCGTATTTTATCTACAAAGTTTTGTTTTACCGACTTCAGAGTCCAGCTCAACGTTTTTTTCGGTTTATACTAAAGAAGTTATGCCTACAAAAAGAGCTATGGTTTCATCAGAATGCACAATTGGGAATATTATACTATTTATGGAACATTAGGACAACAATGACAGTGACACAGTGATGAAGGTAAAATCAGTGATGTTGAAAATGATTTGCATTGTTTATATGGGAAGACAGGTAAGTTACAGCTGTATGTCTTTTCATATGGTATACAAATGCCAGCTTGGAAAGAAAAATAGTGGTAGTTATGGACATCTAAGATATGCCATAACATAAAAATATGTCTTTTGAATGTAAAAGACGCAAAAAATATCACATCTGTTGTATTTTAGAATAATTTATTATAATTTATATCTAATTATTTACAATGTTCCTAATATATATTATATAAGTAAATGTACTTCATGTAACATAATGTAATAGCAATAATACTACATCTCCTTTCCTTTCATATATAAAGTTATCAAAAGTTAATATTCTTCACTATATGTGAATGAGCTAACAGTAAGAACACAACGTCAGCAATCAGTAATAAAAATAGTCCTTTCGTAAGTTCAGTTTTTAGGACATCTCTTTCTTAAATTATATGGATTGCGTAGTCCCACATGCCTTCCTCCCAATGGATTAGTCTTGGGGTTGGGTTCTGTTCGTCATTCGCTTGAGATGTATTGTTACCAGCAGGGTGAGGTGCAGGTCTTAGATATCTTCGATTACGGGTGAGTGTGGATCCTTGGTCGGTTAATACAATGTAGGTGCGATTCGGTTTAATTTCAGTAATTTTTCCAAGTAGTGACCAATCGGAATCGACGCGGGAACGAATAGCTACACGGGTACCAGTCTGGAGACGAGGTAATGGGGTAGTATGTTGATCATAGGTATCTTTATCTTTCTTCTTGAGATCAAGGATTTTCGCTTTCGTCTCATTATGTAACGTTGTTCGACCAGGATAACGAGGGAGGGAATCGTGAAGTGTTCTGCCAAGCAGCAATTCTGCAGGACTCTTACCACATAAGAGAGGAGTATTTCGAATTGCCAGCAGACCTTTCCAAAATTGGTCATTCATTGAGCCACACTTTTTGAGGAGCTTCTTGACATTCTTTACCGCGGCTTCGGCTTTGCCATTTGACTGAGCGTGAGTAGGAGAAGATACAGTGTGTATAACATTCCAACTTTCAACAAACGTTGCAAAGGCTTTGCAAATAAACTGTGAACCACTGTCTGATACGACTTCAACAGGTTGACCAAATCGAGAGAACAATTGTGTGAGTTCTTTGATCAACGCCGGTGCTGTTGCGTCTTTACCAAGATCATAAACTTCAGTAAAGGAGGAGAAATAGTCTGTGACAATAAGGTGGTCTCGGTCACTAAGACTATAAAGGTCAACGCCTAGTTTGTCCCAAGGTCGTGTGGGTAGAGGTGGTTGCTGCAGAGGTTCTTCGGAATTGACAGGAAGAAGAGTTCGACATTCAGAGCAGCGTTTTACCATTTCTTCGATGTCGTGGTTCATCCCAGGCCAATATACGGAATCACGAGCACGGCGGCGAGTTTTTTCAATCCCTTGGTGTCCTTCGTGAAGATTATTTAATGTTTTCTTTTGTTGTTGGGTGGGGATGACAGTCCTGCCATTCATAAGCAAGATAGAGTTCTCTCCAACAGACCCCATGTAGAGGTTATGACGAATGGACCAAAAGGGGCGTGCTTCTTCATCGACTTCATTTCGCATTTCAGGCCACCCAATTTGTACGTAATGGATGACTTTCATGAGTGTATCATCCGCTTGTTGATGGTGGAAAGGTCCCTGAAGCTGACTGGCAGTAGTTGACTTGTCAACAAAGTGAACATTCACAGCAGCTTCGGCATGCAACTCGCATAGTTCGTCTTCAAGACAAGGTTCATCAACGGGAAAACGGGAGAGTGCGTCTGCAGCGAGGTGATCTTTGCCTTTAATCCATTCTGCAGTAAACGTATAAGGCAGCATTCTCATCATGAGGCGTTGCAGGCGAGGATTCTCGACATCAGCAATCCCTTTCGAATTCAGGATGGGAATAAGGGGTTGGTGATCGGTGACGAGTTTGAAGTGAGGTAAGCCACGAAGGAACATATCACATTTCTTCATGGCCCAGCAAGCACCAAGAGCTTCCAGCTCTATCATAGCATAGCGGCTTTCGGTGGGGGTCAAGAATCTGAAACCCGCTTGAACAGGCTTCCATACGCCGTCAACCATTTGTAGAAGGACAAAACCAAGACCGTGCAGACGAGATGCATCAGTGGCAAGCAAAGTTGTACGGTTGACAGCAAAGTAGGTTAGAACAGGTGGTGAGCTAAGGCGACGTTTAGCTTCGTTGAATGCTTGCTCATGTTCTGGCAACCAGAGGTAACATGAATTCTTCTGAAGCATAGGGCGAAAAGGTTGCATGATTTCGGTTATCTCCTGGGAAAAATGGCCAAGTTGATTCACCAGAGCAAACCAGGAGCGTAGATCAGTAAGATTCTTCGGTCGTGGAAAATCGCGGATGGACCTGAGGAGATCTGACTGCATTGGATGCCCATTTCCGATAGGTGGAATCCGCCAAAATCAGCTTCAGTGACAGCTATCTGGGACTTTGAACGCTTCAGTGTGACCCCATGCGTGGAGCATCGGTCTAGGAAGGCGTGAACGCTTTTCTTCAAAGCAGAGAGGGTTGGTGCATTGACAAGAACATCATCTACGATCTTACGGATACATTGTAAGCCATTGACAACTTTGTCCATGCGACGGTTGTACCACTCACTGATACTGCTGATTCCGAATGCGGCCCGATTACACACATATCTACCAAAGGGTGTGATGAAACAGGTTAAGGGACGAGACTCAGGGTGCAGTGGAATTTGCCAGTAGCCATGACGAGCATCGAATTTGCAGAAATATTTGTGCTCTTCAGCAGGAATGCTTGTTACAGCTACGAAGGGTGAATTAGTAGGGTGGAATTCACGCTGGATAAACTTATTGAGGTGGGTGAAGTCAATGCAGATTCTCAGTTCGTCATTATCTTTCTTAGGTGGAATAACGATTGGATGACACCAAGTGCTTGGTTCTTCATAGACTGAGATAACACCAAGACGTTCCATTTCATCAAGTTGCTTCTTAAGTTGATCCATGTAGGGAATCGGGATTTTCCTTGCTTTCGCTTGGGCGTAGGGTTGAACATCAGGTTTGAGATTAATCTTGAAAGCATCACCTTTCATCTCCGGGAGAATTGTGTCATCAAAAATATCATTATAAGATTGCAGAAGAGTAGTGAAATTTGTGTCGTCAGAATATTTAATGTTCTGTCCATTTGCAATAACAGAAGTGACTTTGACTGATGATTCAGAAGGACAGGAGGTAGGTTGCCAACTCAAATCAGACAAAAGTTCATCGTCAGACGTTCGAGGGTTTGGAACCAGATGGTCGACTTCGGTCGGTTTGTTGTCACATATCTGAGGGTTTTTTTCTGATGCGTCGAGGGTATTCACTGATGAGGGATGGTTAAGGTTCTGAAGTAGTGTAGAAATAGGCCAGTCATCATCAATCACACCAAGTGCATGACATGCAGGAGTACCAAGGATAATACTATCTTCACCATGAACAATGTAGAACCACTGATCAACAGAAATGGTGGGATTTTCTGGAGGCCACGAAATCTTTAGGAGAACTCGAGCTTCGACATCCAGGTTATGACCTCCAGCGGTCTTGATGGAACCACATTCAAGATTGTATGACCACTCAGGGGTGTCAAAACGGGTAATCCAATCATAACCGACACAGTTAATGTTGGAGCCAGGATCAATCGTGCATTTTTGCTTCCAGTTGTGGTTACCAAGTATAAAATCAGTGTAGTAGTGCTTACCAACACTAGGAATGGTGATGGCTTTGACAGAGACATCAGAAGTAACGGGTAGTTCTTGATCAGCTGAAATGACGTTAAGAGTTGCTTTAGTGGCGGAACCAAGCTTAGAAGATTCATCAGTAACTTTCTTGTCAGGATCAACAGGGTCACCTGTTGGTTTAGAGGACTTAGGGCACATGACAGATTTAGCCCAGTGACCTTTGTTTTGACAATCCCTACAAACAGAGTCCTTTGCAGGGCAAAATTCATTCTTGAAAACATGATACTTCATGCAAAATTTGCATGTTCGCAAATTTTCATCCCTTGTAGGTGGAGACGGGCCCCCTTTCCCAGTGTTATAGGAAAATTTTTTGTCTA